TCTGACAAATAAATCAATAAATAAAATATTAAAAAAAAAGGAAGAAAAACTCAGGCGATACAGGGTTGTATAGGATGAAAAGGAAGTTCCCATTTGCGTCCTTTCTCCCAGTCTACCCTTTTCTATACAGAGTTGCTATTATGAGATTTGCAGGCACCCTGTGGGCCAAAATGCCCAAAACTCTGGAAACAGCCAAAATAACAAATATGCTTAAGTAAATTATAGTTCCTTTATACACTAAGTTAATATTTGGCCATTGTGTCTGTGAAAATGCTGATGATCTGTGAATGAGAAAAAAGGCAGGAAACAAATTTGAAAACGCATCACAATTTTGTGAAAAATAGCATGTCTGGAAGAAATGTGCCAAATGGATGTCCAAGGACAATTTTTGTTCCCTCTGTATACATATGGGGGTATATTAATGTTCTGAATTTTTTTAAATTAGATTAATTAGGAGCGCCTGGGTCGCTCAGTTGGTTAAGTATCTGCCTTCCACTCAGGTCGTGATCCTAGGGTCCTGTGATCAAGCCCTGCATTTTCCTTCTTAGCAGGGGAGTCTACTTCTCCCTCCCCCTACCTGCTCGTGCATGCATGCTCTTTCTCTCTTTCATTCTCAAATAAATAAAATACTCATTTGAGAGAGAGTGTGCGTGTGCGCGTGAGCAGGGGGAGAGGCAGAGGGAGAGAAGCAGACTCCCCACTGAGCGCGGAGCCCATTGGCGGGAGCTCAGTCTCACAACCCTGAGATCGTGACCTGAGCCAGAATCAAGAGTCAGCTGCTCATGACGGACTGAGCCACCCAGGTGCCCCACGTTCTGAACTTTTTAATGGGAAAGGAATTACACAAAAAAGTAGAACAGTTTTGATGAAACCCTTTAATCTGTTACTTAGTTTCAACAGTGGTCAGTATTTTGCCAATCTTACATTAGCTTCTTTAGGTTCCATACTTTTTTCTGAGTGTTTCGTTTGCCTTTAGGAAACAATAAAATACCGAGATAGAATACTACCTGGGAGGGTGGAAGGGCAGGCTTTGCATTACTAGCCCCTTGTCTCTTTTTTCAGCTGCTGCCCATTGAGAGGGCTGCTCAGAAACAAAAGGCCCAGGAAGCTGTGGCTGGGTAAGTTTTTGAAACTCAGGATGGGGACCAGGCAGCAGCTGGGATGAAGGAATTGAGGGAGGAGCCGGTATCTGTTTTCATCTGTGAATCACTCTTTCTGAACCTGTTTCTAGGGGCCAGTGGAGTGAGGAGGAGACTGAGGAGGAGGAGGAAGAGGAGAAAAGGTCGCCTGAGTCAGGCCCCCAAAAGGATGATGAGACAGATGGGGGCTTACAGATCAATGTGGATGAGGAGGAGCCCTTTGTGCTGCCCCCTGCTGGGGAGATGGAGCAGGATATCCTTCCAGTGCCTGGTGGAGGGGTAGGGGGCAGGTGCTTAGGAGAGTGGATTTTCAGGCCCTGGGACATCATGAAACAGTTCCTTAACACGTCCACATGCCCAGGCTCCAGACTTGCAACGAATTCACAAGCGCATCCAGGATATAGTGGGAGTGCTGCGTGATTTTGGGACTCAGCGGGAGGAAGGTCGGTCTCGTTCTGAGTATCTGCACCGGCTTCAGAAGGATCTGGCCACTTACTACTCCTATGGAGACTTCCTGCTTGGCAAGCTCATGGACCTCTTCCCTCTGTCTGAGGTACTGAATTGCTAATTTAATGCCACTTCTGCTTCTCTTTTCTCACCTTCTTTATTGGCCGTTGTGTGAGGAAGGTGGTCAGCCTCCTTACTCTTTTGTCATCCGGCTGAGCTCCTTGGCCAGGCTGACTTGCTCTCTGCCATTTTGCTTTCCTAGCTGGTGGAGTTCTTAGAAGCTAATGAGGTGCCTCGGCCCATCACCCTCAGGACCAATACCTTGAAAACCCGGCGCCGAGACCTTGCTCAGGTGAGGGGTGGATTTTGAGATTTCTCTCAGGGATTCTAACCCCAGAGACACCCCTATCTCACTTTGACGCAGGGGATGAGGGGTAGGGTCTTAGTACCTAAGCATTTCTTGGTACAGGCATGATCCAGAGGCAAACCCAGGTAGGCCTAGTGTCATGCTGGATTTATCTGACTGGCTTGGGGCCCAGGATGACCTCTGTGAAGTGGGAAACTCGTCCCTTCAGCCTCTGCTCCCTGTGACAGGGTTGAGACACTGCTTCAGGATAAAAATTCTGCCTCAGAACGAAATGGAGTTGTCTGCCTTTTAGATCATTGAGGAGCTGGTGAAACTGTGATTCCTGCCCCCAGAAAAAGACATGATACACATGCACAAACAGTATTTTAAACTCGTTGTTTCCAAGGGTTCAGGGACCCCATGTTAAAGACTGCTTGCTGTTCTGTGGTCAGTGGTATGGCCCTACATGTAGTCTCTCCCCGGGTGCGAAGGTAACCTCCCTGAATCTGATCTTTCGTGTGCTATAGCCAGTGATGTTACATTTTAGGTTGGTAAGGGGTCGAGCCTATTGGAAAATCAGAGTTCAGTTCTGAGACAAAAAGGGATAGGAGCTGGCAATCTGCTCCACTGGGATAGAGTTCAGACCTTGAGTTAGAGCCTGAGGCTAAGGGAGAGGACATCAGAGAATGGTGTGGGAGAGGCTGAGGTCAAAGAGTCTGTGACGATTGTGTTTTAACTACAAGCTCTGGAAGTTGCGATGCCACGGGCCTCAGTAGAACCACGTTTTCATATTTCCACCTGTTTTCTGGGTATAGTAGCCTGCGAGGTTTTAAAATCTTTATCTTCAGGCGCTAATTAATCGTGGAGTTAACCTGGATCCCCTGGGCAAGTGGTCAAAGACTGGACTGGTGGTATATGATTCTTCTGTGCCCATTGGTAAGTGTTCCCTGCCCGATAGCCCTTTCTGCCCCTGCTGTTGTCCCAGCATGTCACAGACAGGTCCTCCTCCACAGGTGCTACCCCTGAGTACCTGGCTGGGCACTATATGCTTCAGGGAGCCTCCAGTATGCTGCCGGTCATGGCCTTGGCGCCCCAGGAGCACGAGCGGATCCTGGACATGTGTTGTGCCCCTGGAGGAAAAACTAGCTACATAGGTATGAGAAGGGCAGGCAGGAGTAGGAGCCATCTGGCTCTCTGCTTCTGGAAGTAAATGGGGTCGCTGCCTCTCTAGTGCTCAAGAAAACAGTGCACAAGCAATTCACAGAGTGGGGAGGAGGACACGCTCTGGAGTTGGCCTGGGTTCCAGCCCCATGTACCACTAACTATCCATATGGCCTCAGACAAGCCCCTGATCTTCTTATTTTAAATGGGGTAGCAACTGTGCTTGGCTTGGCGGTTATATCATACTTGGATTGTTAGGGTTGAGATATGCTTTTAGAAGTCCTTAGCAAAGTGTTTGGCACATAACTAGTCATAACCATTTTATTAAGCTGTTATTACTTAAAAGAAGTAAGTTAGTCTGTAGGACCAAAAAGATGCTCAGTAACAACAAAACCACACCGGCAGTCACACTCCTCAGCGGGTGCGGGCTGGCAGACCTGTACAGTAGACCGTGGGGAGGAGGCTTATTGGGAGTGAAGTCGCCTTGCAGTGGTGAGAATTCAGCTGTGGGGTCTTGGGCGGGAGGGTGGCTGGCGGGTGTGGGGGCAGAGGAGCTGGCTGGTGAGCGCTGTGCCTCTCTCCCTTCAGCCCAGCTGATGAAGAACACAGGTGTGATTCTTGCCAACGATGCCAATGCTGAGCGGCTCAAGAGTGTCGTGGGAAATCTGCACCGGTTGGGAGTCACCAACACCGTCATCAGCCACTACGATGGGCGCCAGTTTCCCAAGGTGCGGCTCCCCTCTGTGCGTGTCTCTTGTGCGTCTTCCAATTCACCTGCCCCCTTCCTGACCTCACGGTTTAGACTTGCCCCTCGGAAATATGGTACGGTTCAGATTGCCAAAAACACCTAATTAACCTTATACCCTTTTTCCCCAGGTGGTGGGGGGCTTTGACCGAGTACTTTTGGATGCTCCCTGTAGTGGCACTGGGGTCATCTCCAAAGACCCAGCTGTGAAGACTAACAAGGTGGGGAGTTGAGGGGTGGGGACCAGCTGAGAGGTATGGCTGGGCCTTACGGAGCTGGAATGGGAGGTGGAGGAGCATTCTGAGCAGTTAATAGCTCATCTCTTCTCCTGAGGCTTTTTGAAATTTTGACACCCTTGCGTCCGTCTCTCCCTGGGACAGGATGAGAAGGACATCTTGCGCTGTGCTCACCTTCAGAAGGAGTTGCTCCTGAGTGCTATTGACTCTGTCAATGCCACGTCCAAGACAGGAGGCTACCTAGTCTACTGCACCTGTTCCATCATGGTGAGCCCTCTGTTGTGGCAGAGCTAGGAGGTTGTTTGCCCCTTAGAGCTCCCTTCAGCTCCAGCTCTGCTTTTCCTTCTCTTTTTGTCTCCCCCACGTGTCCAGGTGGAAGAGAATGAGTGGGTGGTAGACTATGCCCTGAAAAAGAGGAACGTGCGGTTGGTGCCCACAGGTCTAGACTTTGGCCAAGAGGGTTTTACTCGCTTTCGAGAAAGGCGCTTCCACCCCACCCTGCGTTCTACCCGCCGCTTCTACCCTCACACCCACAATATGGATGGTTTCTTTATTGCCAAGTTCAAGAAATTCTCTAATTCTATCCCCCAGTCCCAAACAGGTAAGCAGTCTGCTCTTTCTGCCCTTCATCACCACCTTTGCTCTTTTCTACCTTTCAGGAGGCATCTGACTGCAGGGAAGGGAGGGACTTCTGCCTCCCTTAGCCTTTGCATGCTTGGATGAGCGGCCTCTTTCATCCCAATTAGAATCGTTCCTGAGCCTGGACCCCATTTTAGTACATGTGAAAGCACTCGTACAGATGGGGACTGTTTTGCTTGATTCTGCCAAGTGGCTGCAGTCTTTAAGCACTAAATGCATTCCCAATGCAGTTGTGGTTTCTTTTCCTTCTTGGCCGAAGGCTGCCTTCCTGGTAACGGACCTCTGCTGGTCCAGCATTGTCAGCATCGGGTTGGCACAAGACTATTCGGAACCATCAGCAGTTCTCTGAGCCCATCACACTAATTGCAGATCTTTTTCTCAGCCATCTTGAGTCTGGCCTGGATCTCCGGAAGGGTGGGGTTTTCTGGAACAGGAGTGGCGGTTCTGCATGCTGGGATAGAACGCTGGGTTTAGTTGGAAGAGGGAGAGGCGAGTTTCTCTGAATACAAACTGTGACTTACTGAGTTGATTTTTTTTTTTTTTTTTTTAAGATTTATTTCTTTGACACAGAGAGACACAGCGAGAGAGGGAACACAAGCAGGGGGAGTGGGAGAGGGAGAAGCAGGCTCCCAGCTGAGCCTGGAGCCCGATGTGGGGCTTGATCCCAGGACCCTGGGATCATGACCTGAGCCAAAGGCAGACGCTCAACCATCTGAGCCACCCAGGCGCCCCTTTACTAGCCTGTTTCTAGTTGCTGTGTGTGACTTCTTTTCTTGCATCTCATCAAAATCCACATTGAAAAAAAAAAAAACCAAAAACCTGTCTTTAATTTAAAAAGAAAGCCCAGTGGTTTAGGTTTATTCAGGATTCACCTCCTTAGAGTGTCGTGTGACCTGCTGTCCTCAAGGGGGCATAGCTTCCTCTGAAAACTTTTTGCCCAAGGATCAATAATGATCTCCCTCCCTCCCTTCCCCCTTCCATTCCCCCTCCCTTCCCTTCCCTTCCCCCTTCCCTTCCCTTCCCTTTCCCCTTCCCTTCCCCCTTCCCTTCCCCTCTCTCTTTCATTCTTTACTTTTTTGATCCCTTTCTCTTTAATACAAGGTTCAAATGTGACTTGAATAAAGCCCAGGTGATATTAAGTAATATGAATGTAGGTAGTCTGCTCTTAGGTACTACCCCAACTGTGTGGCACACTTGGCTGACAGGCAGTTTCCTTATCTTGATACCGCTGCTTACTTTCTCCACTAATGATCAAGTCCCAGTGATGAGGCCCATTTTCTTAAACCACATGTTTAATTTTAACCCAGGAAATTCTGCAGTGTCCACCCCTACAAACCTAGACTTGCCTGAGGTGAAAGGTCAGGTGACCCCCAAGCCTGAGGGCAGCAGCCAGCCTGCCAAGAAGGCCGGAGTGGCTGTGAAAGCAAAGCAGCAGTTGGAGAAACGGCAACATCCCAAGAAGGCCTCTTTCCAGAAGCAGAATGGCATCTCCAAAGGGACAGACTCAGGATTGTCCCCTGTATCTTGTGACACAAAGTCCCAAGCTTCTTCTAAGGTCCAAGATAGCAGTCAGCCAGCTCGAGAAGCTGAAGTGATCAGGAGACGAAAGGTGGCTAAGAAACTAAAGCAAAAGTCAGCTACGCCACTGTCCTCCAAGAAAGTCGCCTTCCGGAAGCAGAATGGTCCTCCTAAGGGCACGGACACAGAAGTGTCCCTTTCCAAGACCCAGGCCACTCTCAAGCCTGAGGACTGTGATCAGTCCCTTCGAAACGCCAAAGGGGCTGAGAAGGTAAAGCAGCAGTTGCCAGAACAGCCTTCTAAGAGAGCTGCCTTCCAGAAACAGAATGGCACCCCCAAGGGACTGGAGACTTCCACCATGTCCTCCCGTGGTTCCAGCCGGCCCCCACCAGCAAAGAGGAGAAAATCTCAGTCCAGAGGCAGCAGCCGTCCAGTGTTGTCTTAGATGAATAGTTGAAACTAGACTGGGGTGGCTCATTGCTGTGGGCACTGGGTTGGAACTCTTACCTCTGTGAGGTTGGCATCCCCACTGTGTATATGAAAACTAATACACATTTTATAATCTCTGGCCACTGTGTTTTTTGAGGGGACTGGGTACTGGCTTTGCTGCTTTAAGGGTAGTGGTGGGAGCGTGGGACAGGGCCCCTCTGAAGAGAGGAAACTGGTATACTGAGAAATCCGGTTCAGGCTCCTGGGCTCCGTTGGTCTCCTCAGGGTCCCAGGGAGGGAGAGTCCTGGAGTCAGAGCTTAGGGTGTTCGGACTCTGGGGAGAGGAGGGCAATAAGGGTGTAGGGAGGATGGGCATCCTGCCACCAGAACCCATGGAGTACTGAGGGACCTGGATTCTATTTCTCTGCCACCCTGGCTTGCGGGCATGGACTGGGGTCAGCTCAGCCTCGGACCCGGAAAGGTCCAGGTGCCAACCTCCAACTGAACCGTTCATTGGATTCCTCTCTGCCCTGCCCCGCCCCCCTGACCTCTGCCCCTTCCGTCGAGCCGTCTGATTGGTTGCGCCGCGTCCCCCTGGCGCCTCATTGGCTCTTCTCCCTCGCCCTCCATCCTTGCTCCTGTAGCGGTCTCCGTCTCCCAGCAGAAGACGCAGCCATGAATCCGTTATTCGGCCCCAACCTCTTCCTCCTACAGCAGGAGCAGCAGGGCCTGGCCGGGCCGCTGGGGGACCCTCTCGGAGACGACCACTTCGCCGGGGGAGGGGACGTGTCCCCGGCGCCGCTCGCCCCGGCCGGCCCGGCTGCTTACTCGCCGCCCGGGCCGGGCCCGGCGCCCCCCGCCGCCATGGCTCTCCGCAACGACCTGGGCTCCAACATCAACGTGCTCAAGACCCTGAACCTCCGGTTCCGCTGCTTCCTGGCCAAGGTGCACGAGCTGGAGCGCCGCAACCGGCTGCTGGAGAAGCAGCTGCAGCAGGCGCTGGAGGAGGGTAAGCAGGGCCGGCGGGGCCTGGCTCGCCGCGACCAGGCCGTGCAGACCGGCTTCGTCAGCCCCATCCGGCCCCTGGGGCTGCCCCTGAGCGCCCGGCCCGCCGCCGTCTGCACCCCTTCGGCGCGGGTGCTGGGCTCGCCCGCGCGTTCGCCAGCCGGCCCCCTCGTGCCCTCCGCGGCCTGCCACTCGTCGCCCTCCACCTCCACCTCCTACTCCTCGTCAGCCCGCTTCATGCCCGGCACCATCTGGTCCTTCTCTCACGCCCGCCGGCTCGGGCCGGGACTGGAGCCCACGCTGGTGCAAGGGCCTGGCCTGTCGTGGGTGCATCCCGACGGGGTGGGCGTCCAGATCGACACCATCACCCCCGAGATCCGCGCGCTCTACAACGTCCTGGCTAAAGTGAAGCGCGAGCGGGACGAGTACAAGCGGAGGTAGGGGACCGGGAAGGTGGGGACGGGGTTCAGTGTCATGCCACACGTGGGGCAGGTGTGGATCCGAGGGAGAGCAGTGCGGCCCAAGAATCAGGGAGGAATAAGATGAGAGTAAAGTTCCTGCTGTGTAAGGAGGAGCTTGGAAGTAGACGGAATTGGGTACAGGAAGACGGGGATCCACAGGGAATGCAGAAGTCGCACTCGTGACAGGAAGAAGGATACTCGAAGCGGAGTACTGTGGGGCATACATATTTTTCTTGTGGCTTTTCTTTCTGTCTCAACTAGGCTGCAGTATTTGGATGACTGTGTTCACTGTGGGGTTGTGTGCCGTGTGAAAGGGACAGGCATTTGAGAAGTCACATCTGGGGTACTACTTTGCCTCTCCAGGCTCAGCTCCCAGAGCAGTTTTGTGATAGATGCTCCACATTACTGATCAAAAGTAAGAGACCAGGGATATAGCTTTCATTTGGGAGTCTAAGTGAAATTAGAAGGTGAGGGGGCGGGGGGCTGCATCTGGCAGTGGGTGATCCTGCCCCTGCTCTGGGTTTCCCAAAGTGATGTCGATGGAAACTGGGTACCTACTCCAGTTCCATATGAAAGGCTCTGGGACCTCAGAACATTGCTTGGAGTAAGTCAATAAAAGAAAAGTAAAATAAAAAAGGGAAAAGGAATTCCCTAGGGAAAGGGGAAGGGACTGCTAGTTGTCAGAGGGCTTGTGGAAGCTGGGGGAATCTCTGAAAGTGCAAAGAGCCAAAGGATGACAAAATGTGAGTGAAGCCAGCAGAGGAACTGAGTGGGGAAAAGTTGCGAATCTGGACACACCCTGTGAGGATACGGCAGCTGTGGGGCAGGCCCAGTGCTCTCTGAGGATGAGGATTTGGCTTTCTGCAGGGGACTGGCCGGGTAGCACAGGGGGCCAGGGGAAGGGATGTGATGCTGGTGCTGGCTGTGTACCAAGTGGATCCCTTAGAGGCCTGATAACCCAGCCATTAGGAAGGAGCATGAGCACAGCCAGCTCTCTGTAGACTCTGTGATGGATGCCATGGTTGAGGAGGAAGATGATAGGTCAGAAGGAGGCTTTATTTTGGGAGCCATCAGGTTTAACCTCTTAGTGGGCTCCTCTGACCCCTTGTGGGCAGGCTTGGGAACTACCTTAGCAGCCCTGGGTAGCGGACACTGGTGTGTTGCCTGGGGCTTGGCTGAATGTTCCAGGAGCTTACCTCTGGGTCTGGGGCAGCCTTCAGGGATCTGTAGCCTACCAGAGTCTAGCAGATCTCTGATCAGTAGGCTTTCTGAGGTTGAGTCCTGTCCTCATGCTGGCTTCCTTCGTCGTAGCCCATGTTATAAGTGCCTTTGGGAGTCTTAGTTCTCCGAAAGCCGTCATTTAGATACCACCCAGAGCCAGCCTGCCGCAGCCCCTGTCCCTGCCCCTGTAGGAGTTAATTAACACGGTCAGCAGCAGAACACGGACAGTTCTGGAATGCATCCATAACCACAGAAACAACTGCTGTTCTCGGGTATTTGTTTTTTCTTAACTGAAAGAGTGTTTGTCCTTGGTCCAGCTGTCCAGGGCAGCAGAGAGTTATTCCTTGGGGATTGATGAGCTCATCGCTCTGCAGCATGCTGCTGTGCAGAGGGCCCCGCAGCTAGAGTTGTATGGTACGTGACACTGGCAGTTACTCATTCTTCCACCCCAGATCCTATGCCCTCGTTCTGTTCTCTTTAAAACACCGTGGCTCCTGTCCGTGGCCCAGAAGGCATGGGGATAGCTTGAGCACTAAACTGGGAAGGAGCTGAGGCCTCCTGGGTTCTATTTTCAACTCCCCTGCTATGGGCAACCTTGGGTGGATCTCTTCCTCCTGGCCTCCCTTTTTCCAGTGTAGGAATGGACCCTGCTTCCTCACTTTGCTCAAGGATACCGTTTATTGGGGAGGGAGGTCTTTAGTAAAGGTAGAATACACGGAAATTCCTCAAATCCTACTCATGTCAAGGGAACCTTGTAAGTGAGACCAGATTTGAATGGAGGTCAGAAGGGACCTATTTGTGGGAAAGTCTGGCTGGAGAACAAATAGAATTCTAGTAAGCTTCCAGGGGCACCAGGCTGGCTTAGTCAGGAGAGCATGAGACTTTTGATCTCAGGGTCGTGAGTTTGAGCCCCACATTGGGTGTAGAGATTACTAAAATAAATAAATAAACTTTAAAGAACTCTAGTAAGCTTCCAGATGATTTATTTTCAGATTTTTTTTTTTTTTTTTACTCTGTAAGATTTTGTTCATCTCAATCCTCCCCTAACTTCCTTACTTAAATTTCTACCTGAATTTGTTGCTTCCTACCCTTCCTGATGCATCTTGCCCAGGGTCCTTGTCCCCTTGCCAGTCTTGCTTCCTCCAGGGACTCACAGACTCAGGGGTATGAGGGTACCACATCCCATGCCTTCAGGTTGTCGATGAAGAAACCACAGGCCCAGAAAAGATAAATATGTCTTATCTATGAAAATATATCACTCGATGCTGCTAGGGCCCCTCACCGGCCCCAGCCATCTGATGGAGAATACCAGAGCAAAAGGAGGAAGGACAGGGGGGCAGCAAGGAAGGGTGGGCAGAGAGCCAAGGGGCCCGGGAGCTGGGCTACATGACGGGCTGGCAGGGTGGCGGCCGGGCTGGCTGCCTCGCCCCTGCCCACAAGGGAGGGGCAGTGGGTGACGCAGAGAAGTTATTTTTAGGAACACTGCAGTGCAGAGCCCAGTGAGGAGCAGGAGGGCATGGAGGGAAGAGGTTGTGGGCAGAGCCCAGAGGGGAGAGGAGGGCGAGGTGGGGGAGAGATGGAGGCGGGGGAGGGAGGACAGAGTCCCATGTCTGCAGAATCTGCTCGGTCAGGCTTTCGTTTTCTTGCTGTCCTCTTTGTGGCTTCTGGCCACCTTTCTGATCCCGCAGTTTCTCTCGTGGTACCGTGCCCTCCTTTCTCAGCCTGGAAGAAGTGGCAAGAGGTGATGGGCTGTCTGAATGGGGTCTGAGAAGTTCTCCCAGCCCGGGCACCCTCGCAGAGTCTTGAATCCCCCAGCAGCGTGCTGCCCCCAGCTCGAACCTTCCGCCTCTGCTGCGCCAAGACTTGTGCACTGGTTTGCGGTGGACTCACGCCTAGTGAAAACCCTAGTCCTATGCAGCAGACCCTGCCTGTGGCCTCTTAGCTGCTTGTGGTCCTGGTCTTGGAGTTCTGGAGCCTAGGAGATGCCGCTTCTAGTTCCCAGCCACCGGATGAACGGATTTTTCCTACTCTGATTTCCCTCGCCCTTGGGGTTTGGGTGCCTGGGACCCCCAGGCTCCTGCTTCCCGCTGCTTTCATGCCTCAGGGCCAGCCCCATCACCTCTCCAGGGCTCCCGGACGGGGCTCCGGGGGGGCAGTTTCTGGAGCTTGCGGGGGGATGGACTTTGAGTGTCTCCTACCAGGCTCTTGACCAACCCTGTTGATGTGGTGTGTGACCTGCAGCTGCTTCTCAGGGTGACACGGCTCCACGGGAGGAGCCCTGGGCTGGTGCGGGCAGGAGGCGGGAGACCGGATCTGTGCCCCTGAAGGTGGCCTGGGGGTCTGGTGCGGGCCTGAGCGGGGAGGAGGCCAGCCGGGCAGCTGGCTGAGCCAGGGCCCAAGCGGGACGGGCGCTGCGAGGGAGCAGAGTGGCAGCAGTTAGTCTTACACGGTTCCTGGGGCGCGGCCCAGGGTTGCCGGGCAGGCAGCAGGCGGGCTTGCACTTGCCAGGAAGCGTGGAGCCGCCCGACAGCTGCGGCTGGCCACCCACGGGCCGGCCGGTCCTCGCCCACGGCCCCTGTGCACCCCGGGCACCAGAGCTAGAGTGGGAGAGAGGCCTGAGCCAGAGGGGTGAGGAGCGGGGAGCCGCCGGGGCAAGACCCCACACCTAGGCTCCCTCCCTGTCCCCCATGTCTGCCAGGTGGGAAGAGGAGTACACTGTGCGGATACAGCTGCAGGAGCGAGTGAACGAGCTCCAGGAGGTGAGGGCTGGACCCCCCCCGCCGCCGCACCCCACGCCCGGGCCTCTCCAGGCCCTTCCTTGCTGGCACCTGCCTCCCGCGTGGGCAGCACCGCTCACGGGGCTTTCTCCCTGACTGCAGGAAGCCCAGGAGGCCGATGCCTGCCAAGAGGAGCTGGCCATGAAGGTGGAGCAGCTGAAAGCTGAGCTGGTGGTCTTCAAGGGGCTCATGAGCAATGTGAGTGCGGCCCCTCAGGCCCGCGACCGGGCAGGGCAGGCCTTTCTGGCTTGTGCCTGTGGCTTTCCTGGCCACAGCCCTCACCCACTTTGCTGTGCTTCTGTCTCCCCCCGGCTGGCCCCCCACCTCACCCTCATTCGAGAGGAAAGGAAGGAACAAAACCTTGGGTGTTGGTGTCATAGGCGAGAGGCAGTATGGCCTGTCAAGCAGTTATTAAGGGGCCAGACCCCGGCTCTGCAAGCTGCCTGCAGGGTGGCCTTGCTGAAGGCCTTCTGTGCCCTCCTCTGTGGAAAGGGATCCGAAAGGCATGTACTTTGCAGAGTGGTTATGGAGATGATGATGCACTTGGGACCGTGCTGGCCCAGATTTCATGCGGAATAAGTGACAGCCATCCTTCTTCTTGCAGTACTTTCTCCGCTCTTGTAACTCCCTGTGGTCTCTCCCTCTGGGAGCATAAGTTCCACGGGGGAGCCCCCGCAGGTCCTGGTCCGTGCCCTCTGGGGCTCCCCGTCTGACCAGAGGGCCAGTGGCCTGAGCAGCCCATGAGTGCTGTGGGGAGGGCATCCAGGAAGAGGGGGCAACGGTGGTGTGTGACTGCAAGGATGAGGATCTTGGCCTTGTCTGGGGTGCCGGCCGCCGCCTCATCGTGCCCCGTGTTCCCTGGACAGAACCTGTCTGAGCTGGACACAAAGATCCAGGAGAAGGCCATGAAGGTAGATATGGACATCTGTCGCCGCATCGACATCACCGCCAAGCTGTGCGACGTGGCTCAGCAGCGCAACTGTGAGGACATGATCAAGATGTTCCAGGTGAGGGGACGGGGCTGCCCGCAGGCCCCGGGCCCCTGCCCACGCCTGCCCAGTGCCTCAGCTCCTTACGGGAGGGGGCTCAGGCCCAGAGCCCTTCGTCAGGCCTGGCCCCTCCTTCTTGGGGGCCTCACCCTGGCACTGGGGGCCCTCAGTGGGACTCGGCTGGGGGGCAAGGAACAGCCTCTGAAGAGAAGGTTCGGAAGCTGCCTCTAACACCGTCTCTCCCCTCCCTCCCTCTCTCTCTCCTCTGTCCGCCTCCTCTCCTCTCTTCCTTTCATCTTCTCTTGCTTTCTCCACAGAAGAAGCTGGTTAGTTTTGCTCTCATGCAAGCTTTTTAATGTCCCAGTCCCAGTTTCTAAGCCACCCGGGCCTTTGGCCGTCAGTTTTGACCCGCTGGGCTTTTGGGCCCAGATTTCTTCTCCTGTCTCCGTTCTCCTTGCTCTTCCCCCTTTTCTCTATCTTGTTCCCTCTTTGCTTCATTTCTTTCTATACCTTCTCCTCTGGCTTTTCCAGATCTGGATGTGTGATTTAGGTTCTCCTTTGTATACACCATGTCCTCCTCCTCCTTGCAGCCAAAAACTTTCCTTTTAGTTCGGTCATTTCATTAGAAAGGCTTTTTTTTTTTTTTTTTTTTTTTAAAGAAAACAAATCTTCCGTAGCCATTATGCACGTCTGATGTGGTCGCCCCGGGCCATTTCTCCCCTGATCTTACCGCCCTATTTTCTGTTTCTCCTTTTTCTTCCTTCTCAGTCTGCAGCCCTGCCCCCATCCGTGTGTGTCTGCCTGTCTCTCGGTAACTCCAGTTTCTGTTCCTGTCGTTGTAACTGTGTCTTCTCTCTCTGTCCGCCCCACCCTCCCGCTGGTTCACGCTTCTCCGCCTCCCCTGCGTCCCTCTCCCCCCCCCCGCCCCGCCACCGCCCCGCCGGCGCCCACCCGCCCTTCTCCTCACGCACCCGGCCTCGTCTCTGTAGTCTCTGCACTTGTCTCCCATTAAGGTCCCATCCATGGGGGGGCGGAAGCGGGAGCGCAAGGCTGCCATCGAGGAGGACACCTCCCTGTCGGAGAGTGACGGGCCCCGCCAGCCCGATGGGGATGAGGAGGAGAGCACAGCCCTCAGCATCAACGAGGAGATGCAGCGCATGCTCAACCAGCTGTGAGTCCCAAGTCCTGCAGGCCCAGCCCTCAACAGCACCCCCCTTCCCCCGAGGCTGGAGGCCCCCCCCCCCCCCCCCGCCAAGCCCGGCAGAAAGGCCCCCGCCCTCCTTGACGGCGGGTTCCCTGTCTCCAGGAGGGAGTATGATTTTGAGGACGACTGTGACAGCCTGACTTGGGAGGAGACTGAGGAGACCCTGCTGCTTTGGGAGGATTTCTCAGGCTATGCCATGGCAGCTGCAGAGGCGCAGGGAGAGGTAACGGCCCCTCCCGGCCTCAGGGCCCCTGCCAGTCCTGCCCGCCCCCCCAGATGGACGCCCCGTCCCCTCCCTCGCCTCCCTGCACTCCTTGCTGCTTTCCCTCTGTGGCCTCCATCCTCTACCTGCTTCTCCCCTCTTCCTTTATCCTGTCTCTGCGCTTTCTCCAGTTTCCTTTAACCGGACTCTCTCTCTCTTCCCCGCCTTGGCCCTGTGGAATGCCCCCATCCCACCCTCCCCCTTGGCCTCCCCCTTGCTTCCCTTTCTGCGCCAGCAGCAGGAAGACAGTTTGGAGAAGGTGATTAAAGATACGGAGTCCCTGTTCAAAACCCGGGAGAAAGAATATCAGGAAACCATTGACCAGATAGAGGTAAGGCTGGGGGTTTCTGAAGCCGCAACCCCGGGAACCCCAGACACCGGGCCTTCTCCTTTCTCTTATGGGGGTGGAGCCTTCAGACGTCAGGCTCCGGCGGGGGGCGGACAGATGTGGGTTCCAGCCTCAGCCCTGTCGCCTCCAACTTCTAATGGGCTACTTCCCCCCTCTGAGCCTGTTTCTTTATTTGTCAGGTGGGATTTTGATTGTCCCTCCCTCACAGGCTTGCCTGACACCCCATGAAACGAGGCCCGTGTAGAGCTGAGGGCAGTGCCTGTCTCCTGGGAAGCTTACTGTCCGTGCCCTAGCAGAGGCCACTAAGAAGTGGACTCGAACTTTGCTGTTTCTTCAGCTCAGCCTTTCAGTGGATGGAGGACCCTCTGTTGTCATTCCCTAGCCCGGAGGGAGCTTCCTGGGTGGGCAAGGGAAGCCGGTGTTCTAACTTAGAGTTAGGTCTGCAGGGCCGCGGGCCGTGGGTTTGTGGGGCCAGGGCCCAGGGGCAGCGGGGCGGGCGGGACGCGGCTCTCAGCGGCCTCCTGGCCCTGGAGAGGGCCCTTCCCTGAGCCCCGAGTGCCCCGGCTTGCGTGGGCCTCTCTTCAAGCCCACGTGACCTGTTTATACCCTTGCTGCTCTCGCACTGCCAGGCATTTCGAGAAGGAAGTTGACAGATGATTTTCCTACTTGCGCATTCCACACGGTCCTGCTCCTTGAAGCCAAACCCGCTTTTGTTTCTTGCCCAGGCAGACAGGCTGAGTTTTAAAGGCCTGCAGCCGGGATGTCTGCTCCCTGCTGAGGAGAGGGGTTGGGGGGGGGCGCTCTCTGTCCACTCATGGACACCCATCCCGGTGGTCTCCCTCTTGTCTTGCAGGAGGACGGCTTTAGGAGAGGTGTTGGGAGAGCTAACAGGGGGCTTCGGGTGCACAGCTGGCCCTGATAATTGCCCATTGCCAGCGGTAGAGCCAGGGCCCAGGTGGAAGCAAGGTGGGAGGGAGCTCCTGCCGTCCTGTCTCCTTCCTCCCCACCGAGTCCCAGCTCTACCCGGCCCTCCGGTCCCACAGCGAGGCTCGGGTTTTCAGTGGAGGCTGTTGGGTACCTGGTAGCCTGCGGTGGCCACCCTCCCTCGCGTGTGAAGGAAGGGGACACGTACGGATGTGTAGAGGCCACGGGTGACGGTCCTAGCCTCGCCTTTGGATAGAATATATTTGCTTCATTTCCGTCTTTCCCGTCCTCGCGAGGGATGGGCTCCAGAAGCTAGCCCCTTCCCCTCCCGCCCGCCTGAGCTGGAGAAGCCGGGGTGGGGGCGGCAACCAGGCTGCGCAGGAGCAGGTGACCTCATACCCTCTTCCCGGCTGAGCAGTCGCGCGGCCCGCGGCCCGGCTCTGCAGTCAGGGCTGCCATGCAAGCTGCCCCCGCCAGGGCGCCCGAGCCACCCGGGCCACCATCTCTAACGTCTGGCCCTGTGACCCCTTCACTTTTTCCCCTGAGTTCCCATCCTTTCCTTGTCCAGTTTGGATTAGTTCTGGGTGGTTTCCTCTATCCAATTCGGATTATTCACGGCTAGTTTCCTACCCTTTCTCTTTGCTCCCAGGCAGTCAAGCAAATCACCTCCAAGCAGTTTTATTTGGCCTCTCGTTTGGCCCCTGTCCTTTGTACCCAAAGCGAAGAGAGGCAGCAGATTGTCTCTGGCCCAGATCTTTCCTGCCTTCGGCCTCTGTCAGCTCTCCCTCTGCGAGGGAGGCCGTATTTCCTTGATTCTGAGGCCACATTTCCGACATGGAACATTTCTTGAGTTGGGATCCATCTAAGCAGTAGGACGTTGGGGGTGGCAGCAGTCTTTCCGTGCGGCTCTGCGAGCGGCTCACATGAGAGACAAGGGCGATCAGGGGAGGGTCGAGCCTCTTGCAGCAGGCAGGCAGGTCTCCTTTGTGCCTCGAGCCTTGTCGCCACTTCTCGAAGTTCACGAAGTCATTTCCCAGCGTGGTGCTGGGCCTGCACAGGCAGAGATGAGTAAGAGTCGTGGCCGGCCTTCCAGAAGCACCCAAATGAGTGAGGGAGACAGACGGGGTGCAGCGTGGCACGGGGCCGTGGGAAGCCCAGGGAAGGAGCCAGGCTGCGCACAGACAGCTGCCGCGGGCTCTCTGTCCTGCCCACACTTTGGTTCCTCTCGTCAGGGAGGCTCTGTTGCAAGAATGCGGGCCCGTAGCAGAGACCTCCGCCTTCCTCTGCAGGCAAAGATTCCCGGGAAAGCTAGGAATGATAGTACAGTGGGTGCCTTCTGGCTGGTCAGACTGGTTTTTAGATCTGAGCCTTTGCCCACGGCCGCCTGGGCCCCCCTGCCCGGCGGTGTGTTTGGCGTGTTCGCCTGCTGGGGGTGTGGGGCCGGGGCCCTGCTGACCTGCTCGGCCCTGCCCTGCCCCTGCCACAGCTGGAGCTGGCCACGGCCAAGAATGACATGAACCGCCACTTGCACGAGTACATGGAGATGTGCAGCATGAAGCGCGGCCTGGACGTGCAGATGGAGACCTGTCGCCGGCTCATTACCCAGTCGGGAGACCGGTGAGGACCTCTCCTGGGGGCTGGGGCCCGGCCCACCTTCCCCATGTGTCTTCCTCCGGGGGCGCATGCAGGGAGGGGGCGCAGTGGGCAAGCCCTGAGCACCCCGAGACTCAGTCCCATCTCGATGTGGGGCTGTGGGAGGGCACCCGGTGTGTCTGGCCCAGCCCCGCAGCCTTCTCTCCTTCAGCAGTGGGGCGATGGGTGGGCGTCCATTCGTGGCTGGATGGCCAACACCTCCCAATGCTGCCAGCTCTGGGGTTTCCCTGGTTAGAAGCAGCTCAAAACTGCCAAGGGACAGAAGAGGTGTGGGGGCAGATTTTTATCTAAAGTCAGGGCCACAGTTGGTGCATTTGACCCTGTGTAAGTTCTGTCTCTACAAAAAAGTCAATTTTAAAAAGTCACAAAAATACTACAGATAGACATAAAGCTGGGGCCATCAAGCCTCTGCACTCGGGCTCATGTAACATCTCTCATACTGTGATTTGAGGTATTTCTTTTCTTTTTTTGATTTTATTTATTTGAGAGAGAGAGAGAGTGAGAAAGCATGAGTGGGGGGAGGGGCAGAGGAAGAGGGAGAAGCAGGACCCGGATTTGATGACCCGAGCCAAAGTCAGATGTGGGCACCGACTGAGCCACCCAGGTGTGCTCCTGTGATTTGAGATATTTCTGGACTCTGAGCCTCCCAGAGTCTCCAAGATAAAGACATGGACCATATCCCCCAATAGGACGGGGTGCGAGAGCTTTCTTTCCCCTTCCTGGCTTCCCTCACCCTGCGTCCACCCTCACCCAGGGGGCCCTCCTGTCCTTGCCTGAGATGGTGTTCACCGGCCTGCACGAGAATAAGGCCACGGGAGAGAGGAATGCCCTCCTCATCAGGATTCCTGCCTGCCCCAGGGTGACAGCTGGTGTTTTTTTCTAGAAAGTCTCCTGCTTTCACTGCGGTCCCGCTTAGCGACCCACCGCCGCCGCCGCCAAGCGAGGCTGAGGACTCCGATCGAGATGTCTCATCTGATAGCTCCATGAGATAGGGACCCGCCTCCAGCGCCCTGGGGCCCCACTGTGCTGGGAACTCACCAAGGCAGTGAGGTGGGGGGGTTCACAGAAGGGGAACATCATCCGTCCCGCCGCACCAAGCCTTGCCACTGGGGACTGGGGCGCTCCTTCCTCGGGCTTCCTGCCTGTGACCTTGGCCTCCAGGGTTCTAAGGTGTCTGGAGCGAGGCTTAGCCCGCCCGTCCCAGGTGACTCCCACCACAGCCGGGGCTCTCCTGCCTTCATGCGTGGGTGGCTGCTACTTTCTCATCTTTTTTTTTTTTTTTTTTTTTAAAGATTTTATTTATTTACCTGAGAGAGAGAGCACAGAGGGAGAGTGAGAGGGAGGAGCAGGGAGCCCGATGCGGGGCTTGATCCCAGGTACCTGGGAGCATGGCCTGAGCCAAAGGCAGACACTTAACGACTGAGCCACCCAGGCGCCCCTACTTTCTCATCTTTAAAATGCTGCCAGAGCGATCGTGGCCCCTTACTTTGTCCACTGAGTAAGGAATGTGATCATCAGATTTTCCTTCCGTTTCTGTGGCCTCAAGCCAGCTTACGGTCTGATTCTGTACTGGTGCTAACTGGCCCAGGCACTGGTATGAAGTGGGTGAGGCTGGACGTTGCATGGCTTGTGCAACACATGCTGTGGGAGAGGGCCGCCCCCCCCTCCTCGTGGCGCAGGTGGGAGGACGGCCTGGGCAGGTCGCTCTGTCCTCCCTCCGTCGGCCTAGTGCTCCTGGCCGGCCGTCTGCCCTGGGATGGAAGCGATGTGGTGGCCATCCTTCCCTCGGGCAGTGCCTGCCTTCAGGGGGCCTTAGTGCCTATCTGGGCAGCTTCTGGGAATGACTGGGTGCAGCGTCGTGGAGGGAGATGGAAGCCCCTGCTTGTTTCCAGTCAGCGCTGAGGGGCAGAGAAAAAGGTGAAGCTCCTTGTGCGTGCGTGCATGCGTGCGTGTGCTCAGGGTCTCCATCTCTTCAAGCATCTCAGCTGAAGATGCGCCTCTTCCGTGTCTGTCATGCACTGAGAGCAGCAGGCTAAGATGTCCGGATTTGGAGAAGCTTGGGGGAACCTGGGGGCGCGCGAATGAGGACACATCACATCAGTCTGCCTGCCTGAGGGAGGCTGGGCTGACATTGGAATGGAATCTTTAATAATAATCAAACTGGAGAGTATTTATCGAACACTTTCGTGTCACTGTTTCAAGCACTTTCTGGTGGCAGCTACCCGATCCCTTCTGGGCGGGGGGGTAGGCCCTGCTCTTCAAAAGTCACCTGACACACAGGCAGGTGCCAAGTGAGGCTGGGGAGGTTGTAACTTGCCCCAGTCGCAGGGCCTCTGCCCACGTGGCTGGTGGCGGCCTGTGCGCCGCCCCTGAAGCCCCCTCCCGCAGATGCTGGCTCCCCTTCCCATGCCCCTGGACGTCCTGGTGGTGGGGGTCACCCTCGTGCTCCTGGTCATGGGCTACAGTGCTCAGCTGACCGAGAAGAATCCTTCTAGAGGACCCGGAGGGGCTGGGCCTGGCCTATCATTTCACAGATGGAGGAACTAGGGCACACTAGGCAAGTGACAGTGCAGACCTCTCCGCAGCCCGGGAGCCAGTCAAGGCCACAGGACTTGGTAGCCCAGTTCCAGAGCGCGACTTCCCGGGCCAAGGTTACCCTCCAGGTGGCTGCAGACAGAACGGCTTTCAGACAGAGGCAGCCAGGTCACCTGGTGACAAAATGGACTTGCCCTCTGATGTCATGTTGGGTCATGTAGCACCTAGGGGCCCTGAAGGGATACTAAGCCAAAGTGAAGACCAATCCCAATGGCTCTTAGGAGTGCAGTGCACACACCTTTGTGAGGGATGCTCTCGGTTAGGCCCAAGACATGGGAGTTTATGCCTGGTTGGGCTATGCTGGGCCTTTCTTGGGTACTGTCCACAAGACTGGTTTCACTTTGGCACCCAGCCTAGCTCCCCTCCCCTTTATCCCAGACCTCAGAATAAGCTAAAAATCCCAAAGAGTTGGCTGGGTACAGTATACTTTATTGATGGTACATGACAAGGTAGGGGTCCCCAAGCCCCTCCCCTTCTTCAGGGGGTCTGGGATGGAAACGGAGGAGGTCGGGAAATTCTCAGTGTTTCAGGGGAAGTAGGGGCAGGGACTCCCCAGCAGCTGAGGGCCTCTCTCTTCCTCTTGCTCTTGCTGGGGCTGGTGGTCCAGGGGGCTCTTACTCCTTGGAGGCCATGTGGACCATAAGGTCCACCACCCGGTTGCTGTAGCCAAATTCATTGTCATACCTGGAAGGAGATCAAGCGTGAAGGGCTGTTTTCCCGAACCGGCCACCAGAGGGCGCCGGACGCTCGCCACTTTCTCAGGTGTTGCCCCACCCCGGCCACATACCAGGAAATGAGCTTGACAAAGTGGTCGTTGAGAGCAATGCCAGCCCCGGCATCGAAGGTGGAGGAGTGGGTGTCGCTGTTAAAGTCGCAGGAGACAACCTGGTCCTCAGTGTATCCCAGGATGCCCTTGAGGGGGCCCTCTGACGCCTGCTTCACCACCTTCTTGATGTCGTCGTATTTGGCCTGACAAGGTAAAATCAAGATGGTTATTCAGGTTCCAATCCTGCCGGTCTCCCCCAGACGCCCATCCCTAGTGCACCACCTTCTCCGACCCCCACTTACAGCTTTCTCCAGGCGGCAGGTCAGATCCACGACGGACACGTTGGGGGTGGGGACACGGAAGGCCATGCCAGTGAGCTTCCTACAGATTGGGGGGGAACGGGGTCAGCACCAGTCCTCCTGACCGCCCCCCCCCAAGACCCCCAGAGCAGGAAAGCAGCCAGGAGCCTCACCCATTCAGCTCAGGGATGACCTTGCCCACAGCCTTGGCAGCGCCAGTGGAAGCAGGGATGATGTTCTGGGCAGCCCCTCGGCCGTCGCGCCACAGCTTCCCAGAGGGGCCGTCCACGGTCTTCTGGGTGGCAGTGATGGCGTGGACGGTGGTCTGCGAGCACGGGGGAAGGAGTGAGTGAGGGCCTGTGCGGTACTCGTCACCTCACCCACCCTTGGGGAGAATTAAGGGGCAGAATGACCTGACCTTGGAACCCCCAGTGCCCCGTGGCACCCCCCCAGCCCAGGACCATGTCCTAAGCAGAGAAAAAGATGGTAGTCCTGGGTGAGAAGTCCATGGGCTCTGCGCACTTTCCCCAGCACTCGTACCATGAGTCCCTCCACGATGCCGAAGTTGTCATTGATGACCTTGGCCAAAGGGGCCAAGCAGTTGGTGGTGCAGGAAGCATTGCTGAAAAGAGGGACGCACGTCAAGGGCAAGCAGGTCCATCTTATCACACAGTTATTATCCGGCCACTTCTCCACTCCTCTCCCCTCTGCCAAGCTTACCTGACAATCTTGAGAGAGTTGTCATACTTCTCATGGTTCACACCCATGACGAACATGGGGGCATCGGCAGAGGGAGCAGAGATGATGACCCTCTTGGCCCCGCCCTTCAAGTGAGCCTGCAGCAGAGGAGTCATGACAATCCAGACCCTCCCTTTCCTGGTCTGAGCCCGCAGTCCCCGCAGTCCCCATGCTTCCCGCTGTACCAAATCCCAGGATCAACCCCTCCCATCTTTAGTCTCCCTGGCACTCACCCCAGCTTTCTCCATGGTGGTGAAGACCCCAGTGGACTCCACAACATACTCAGCACCAGCATCACCCCATTTGATGTTGGCGGGATCTCGCCTACAAGGGTAGACAAGACGCCAAGCTCAGGGACATGAGGTACTACGTACCCAAGGTGGTCCTCCCATCCTAGTACCTCCCTCAAAGCAAAGTTCTTCCTGTTCCATCTTCCACACTTACTCCTGGAAGATGGAGATGGACTTTCCATTGATGACAAGCTTCCCGTTCTCAGCCTTGACTGTGCCGTGGAATTTACCATGGGTGGAATCATACTGGAACATGTAGACCTGGGGGGGGGGTAGGAAGGGGCAGTGAGGGGCTGCAGTTCAGCCAGGCTCTGCAGAGCTCTGACACCTGCAGTGGCAGCACTCACCATGTAGTTGAGGTCAATGAAGGGATCATTGATGGCAACAATATCCACTTTGCCAGAGTTAAAAGCAGCCCTGGTGACCAGGCGCCCAATACGGCCAAATCTGAGAAAGGCAAGGGGCAAGAAGGAATGAGTGGGGGGGGGGGGAATCCTCCTGGGCATGGAAGCAGCCCAACTCCTCCTCTTTCAGGGGTTAGAGGATGGCACTTCCTGGCCACCAGGAAAAGTCCCAGAAGGTCTAATTTTATCCTGCGCAACCCCGCCAGGACAGCCTGCCCAAGAGGTGACTGGGTTCAAACACTTGCCCAACTCCCCAGCATCTCCAAGTCCTACCAGGAGAAACAGCAGTGCAGGGCATGGTCTGGCCCAGCTTCAGGATACACCCTCTGGGCAGCAGAGACTTGCACACTTAGCAACACCAAGCTCAAAAAGCACGAGCAAAGGTCAGAAATTAACTGGATGGGGAAAGCCCATCTCTTCCTCCACAATGGAAAGAGGGAAAAAAGGAGCACTTCCCACCCCCTAATCTCAGGGCTCTAGTGTATTAAGCTACCTGTCCTCGCAAGCCCTCTTCTAAAAATCAGGAGCAAAAGCAACAGATGTGTGCGCGTGTGTGAGAGGTAAGAGAAACCCAGGCCCCCAGCTGCAGAAAGGTCAGGCAGCTATATTTAACCCCAGATTAGAGTGGAGTGGGGATCTGATTTCTGGAAGATGGTCTGGTGAGAAGGGCAGGATTCCCAAGGCTCATGGACACCTAATCCTCCCAGTGACCTTTATAGCCTTGGTCGTTAGGATTGGGTCAGCTCTAGGCATCGAAGGAAGAAGAGCGCTTCTTCGAGGAGGGCCAGTGTGATGGAAGGGGCTGCCGCCACAGGAGCCATTTTGTGGTGGAAAATTTCTAACTACCCATGACTCAGCTCCCCCAGCACGGCACTAAGCTGCAGCTACCACACCTCTCCGCAGAAAGGGAAAAAAAAAAAAGAAAAAGAGGAAAAAAAAAGGACTCCCCTAAAGCCAGGTTTCTGATTCACCAGAGGCTCCTGTAGCAAGGGCAGCCCTGAGGGAAATCTGGTTGGCAGCCTAGCGGATGGTGTGTGCTCAGAGTTCTGCAGCCCAGCTCTTTCGAGAGCAAGGCTGCCGGAAGCCTTGCCTCACCTGGCTCACGGGACAGAGGCGACTCCACCCCGCCGAGGGCAGGCCGAGGAGGCTTAGTCATAGGCGAGGAAGGAGGAACGGGGAAGAGCTACGGACCGTTTCCTAACGGTGGTTCCTTCACTTCCTTCCCCGTTGCAACATGGCGGCTGGGTTACCGCAAACGAGCGGTGCCGGCGGGCTGCGCACCCAGCCGAGGCCCGGGAGCCCGGCACCGCGCCGGCGAGGTGGGGGGGGGGGGCTGGGGGGAGGGGCGCCTCCCCGGCACGTGACCCCGCAGGGCGCGAAAGCAAAGAAAGAAGCCCCGGCCGGGGGATTAAGGGAATGGCTCCTAAGCCGGGAAGGCGGCGCTCCCGCGGATCGCAGGCAGGTGGGAGGGGAAGGCTGCGGGCGCCTCGAACCGCAGGGTGGGCGTTGCAGGAGGCGCCACAGCCGGGGATGGGGTGGGGGCCACGAGGCCCTCTGCGGCGGGGGCCTCCGTCAGGTCAGAGCGCCGACCTTGAGTTCTCCTTGCGGGGGGGGGGGTAGGACCACCGCACTCGCGTCCCCCACCCACGCGCTCGCCCGGGCCGCAGGGTTCGATGCCCCACCCCAGCCCCGAACTCACCCGTTCACTCCGACCTTCACCATCGTGTCTCGGGGACGCGGCTGCGGAGAGAGGAAGGCGAGCATTAGAGCGCGGGGGTGGGCGGCGGCTGCAGTGCGGCCGCTGCCCTCCCCTCCCCCCAGGCCTCCATTCCCACTCCGCGCTCGGGCACGTCCGCCCTCCCACCCCTGCAATGCGGAGGTCCGGCCGGGCACGCCCGACCCGCGGCCACGCAGCCCAACCCGGGTCCGCGAGCACCCCGGGCCCCCTTCGGAGCCGTGCCCGGGCCTCTCGCGGCTCCCCTCCGTCTGGTTTGGCCGGGCTTTACCTGGCACTGCACCAGAGGATGCGGCTACCTGTCGAACGGGGAGGAGCAGAGAGCGCCAGCGGAGGCTGCAGT